CCCCCCCTCTTTTTTTTTTTTTTTTTTTTTTTTTAGAGTATGTTTTTATTGACTTCAGAGAGAGGAAGGGAAGGAGAGAGAGAGAAACATCATTAATGAGAGTCATTGATCGGCTGCCTCCTGCATGACCCCCTAGTGGTGATCGAGCCCACAACCCGTGCATGCGCCCTGACCGGGAATGAAACTGTGATCTCTCTGTTTATGGGTCGATGCTCGACCGCTGAGCCACACCAGCCAGGCATATGTAATTTCTTTTTATTCTCTTACCCTCAGGAATAGACAAGCCAGCTAGCTCTCTCTCTCATTTTATCTCAAGGACAGTAACACACCTTGAGAATGCAGTAGGTGCCAGGCCTTTTCACTGCTGGTAAACGATGGGAACTGGCTTTTCTCTTCCCAGTATGCTCCTCTTCCTCAGCAAAGCCAGGCTTGTAATAATAATGGCATAGCATCTTAGAAGTGGGAAGCATCTTAGAGATGCTTAGAGTTTCTAGTTTCTGGTCCACAGCAAGGGAAGTGTGGGAATTATGAGTAAGCTTTGCAAACTGTGAGTAAGCCTATAAGGACGTGGCGCCCAGGTGCACCTTCCCGTCGTGGCGGTGGGAACCACTGATCTGCGCAGCTCCGCCCTGGCTATTCTTTAGGACTCGCCATTTCTCGTCTTTCCTTTTCTTGTTCATGGCACTTGCATCCTCCTCATGATGCAGATTCAGAGTCACTGACTCATTGACTTTCTTATCCTTCATATCCAGTCACCAAATTGAGCTAATTCTTTTATGATAATGGTCCTTATGTGTCTTTCTCTTTCTGTTATCTCTGTGGCCTTTTACTTTAGTCACTCCCCTGTCTTTCAGTTGTTAGCTGTTGACTCCGAAATCTGTATCTCTTCCCTAAATGTGCTCCAGTTTATCATTTCCAACGGTTTTTTCTCTGCTCCGTTTGATACCTCATTTCTACTTGACATTCACTAGGTCTGAAATGGAATTTATTTCTTGCCCTGAATCTGCTTATTCCTGTTCCCTGCAGGGTCTTTGCTGGTGAAACCGCTGAGTGATTTTTGTCCCTTCCATCTCCCTTGGCCGGTTGACAAAGTCTTTCTTTTATACATGCAGATTTCCCCTCATCCTCTCCAGTCCTGCTGCTGCCACTGTGGTGTGGCTCTGTGTTATCTCTTCCCTGGAGTTTTATAACAATTTCCTTACTGTTCTCTTCTATACCTTCCTCCACTTACATCTGCCAACAGTATAATCTTTCTCCTGCATAGCTCTATTATTGTTACCTATTTTCTTAAAAATTGACATGGTTCTTCATTGCCTGTGGAATAAAGGTTAAGCTCTTTAATCTGGCATACAGGTGTAGAAAGTTACCTTACCTACTATCACTCCACTACATCCTCACACCTTAGCCAAACCGAGTCCCTCTCTGTATCTTTGCTTATATTGTTTTATCCTTGTGAGGTACCTTTGTGTCTTATCTTCAGATTCTACCCTTTCTTCAAGCTTGAGTTCTATTGCCATCTCCTCTACAAAGAATGTATTTCATCCAGCGATCTTTTTAGTGAATGTTAATAACATTGTATTCCTCTCTTATGTTACTTATTGTTGTCTACTTTGCATTAAAGATATTTATAGCACTTATGGCTTTATTAGTACTCCCAAATAAGGACCTGCTGTGGGACTTGGGGGAACAATTCAGAATAAAGATTCCTGGGCCTCATCCCATAGAAGCTCTGGTTTAGATCTCAGGAAGGTCTTGGGATCTGAAATTTTGAAGAGCTCTTAGACTTTTCAAATTTGAGGTCAGATATTTGAATCATTGGTCTAACTGCCCTACAGTTTTAGTTACTGAGTCTATCCTCTTGAATTACTTAACTTTTGGGATGTATTTATCTTGTCTAAATTACGTTGCAAACTCCTTGAAATGTTTTGTTTCTCCTCTATGGTACTCAGCATAATAGACATACAGTAACTGTTGAATGTTGAATAAATGAAAAGATTGAAGTAATATCTTTCTATTGGTATAACTGTAGAGAATGTATACTGAAGAGAACATGTTTCTTAGGACATATATTAAACAGAAGTTGACAGATAGCCTGTTAATGGGCTATTCTGAAGGAAAAAGGAGGGAATAACACTTAAGAAGAGAAGAGAAATCAAGCAGTGATTTACAGAAGATTAGTAAGATAATATTTTGTTTGTAGGGGTCACATGGTTACTATTTATTTATGTTACAATAGAAGAGAAGGTAAATAACATGGTCAGTTTACAAGTGTAGTGTGCATTATTTTTAAGAATAAAAAATGAGATCATAGAAAAGTGACCTTTCTAACCCCACTTGTAGTGGACATCGCTAACCAGCCACAGCACTCTTTCTTGTTGAGCCTAGATGTGCCCTCAGCATCCTTTTCAATGTAGCACTCCAGCAGGGGCTACTGATCAGTTGACATTAGCATAACGACAAAAGAAACCCTGGAATATGAAATGTTGTTCAGGATATCTCCTATAGTTAAAAAAAAAATTCTGTAGAATGATTGTGATCCCTACAATCAAAATTTTTTTGTGTTTAGCAAGAAAAACAAGTACTAAAAGGGCAGCTTTTTGATAATGCACTGTTTGAATTCACTGCTCTATTTCTGGTATGACCTATCTTTTATGAAATTATGCTGTTTCCTCATAACTGCGTGTCATTTACTCCGACTTTTTAGTAAGTAAAGGTAAAATATATATATAGTCTTCCCAAGAATTTAGAAGACACTGATGTATTGTCTAATTCTGATAAGCTAAGGTTAAGCTCCTTAAAAGCACTGGGTTGCCTCTACTGCTTGCCTTATTGTTTGAAATATTGTGCTTATTTTCAGCTCTACTGGAAATCTCTTCCACTAATTTTGTTAATAAGTATGTGCTCACATGCCACACGTTTTAACCGTGTGCATCCAGCCACCCTTCTTCCCCCGCTTTTCCCTTTTCTAAAATGAGCCTAATGGGTAATCAGGTTTTCACTTCTCTCCTTGCACCTTCCAGGTCAGATGACGATGATACGGAGAGTAGGAGCTCCAGGGTGACCCAACTTTGCACTTACTTTCAGCAGAAATATAAGCACCTCTGCCGCCTGGAGCGGGCAGAATCCCGTCAAAAGAAATGCCGGCACACGTTTAGGAAAGCCTTGCTGCAGGCGGCCAGTAGGGAACCAGAGTGCACTGGTCAGTTACTCCAAGAACTGCAGAGAGCTGCTTGCCATCGAACCAGGTCAGAGCCAGCCGTGCGCAGCCACCCGTTTCTAGGAACCTGTCTCAGTCTGTTTTCTGTAACTTTTGAGAGGATAGTTGAGGCACAATGGGCAGTGGGCATTTAAGTCTGAACTACTTAAGCATTGTGTTTTGGTTTTGTTGCTCAGATAAAGTTCTGCACAGATGGAAAAATAATACTGCCATGAACTGACATTAAAAGTAAAGCATTACTTTCTGGCTGGAGGTTGCCAGTTCAGTTCCTGGTCAGGGTACTACCTGGGTTGTGAGTTCAATGCCCAGTTAGGGCACATACCGGAAGGCAACTAATCAATGTTTCTCTCTCACATCGATATTTCTCTTTCTCTCTCTCCCTTTCTCTCTCTAAGCATGTCTTCCAGTGAGGAGTAAAAAAAAAAAAAAAAGAAGAAATTAAAGCATTATTGGAATTTTGCCAGACTTTGATTAGAAGTTATTCAGTAAAGGGTTTGAGAATGTTACATGTCTTAAAAAAAATACAATGCCTAGAAATTTTGTATGTTATTTAAAAGTAATATTTAGAGTTTATTACTACAAAGGTAGCGTTTCACATTTTTTACTATTTAAAAATTTGAATTGTATTTCTGTTAATATCTATGTTACATGTTAAAAATATTTTATTACACTGGATTTCTTTGGGGGAAAATTTCTCTGTTTATAGTGCAGATATTTGGCTTACTGTGAAAAGTTTGAAAAATATAGAAAAAAGAAGGGGGAAGATCTCCTTCAATAATATCACCATTCATGAAACAGAAAGAGCACTATGAACATTTTGATTCTGTTTCCTTCTAGTCTTTTTCTGTGTGTGTGTGTGTGTGTGTGTAATCTCCAGTGAGCCATGTGTTTGTATTAAAAAGCAAAATTGAGATCATGTTATATGTATTTTTTTATTCTCTGCTTTTTTTCCCATTTAATACTGAATTATGACCTTTTTTTCATGATATTCTTTAAAACATGACTTTTAATGGTTTCATAATACAAATGTCAGTCTTTACACTTTTTCATTTTTATGTATGTAATTAAGCAAAATTAGATTTGTACTGTTTTAAAAGTAAAGTGTCCAGTTCTTTTCCCCCTTAAAAATATAACCATTCCTCAATATTCTTAAAGATTGTTTTGAAAACATGATTTATAATGTTTACATAATACTTTATTGAATGAAAATCCACATATTGGAAGTGTAGAGTTACCTGATATTTCAGTGAAGAAATTATGATTTATTACTATTGTAGAAGTTTATCTAGATGGTAAAAATTTAAATCATAATTACTTATATTATGTACCTTTTGAAAATACTAGCTTAATTGAATTAAAAATTTCCAAAACATCTTACTTAACTAGGGAAATAGTTTTCAATTTAGAAGGCTTAGTTCTGTATTGAGTTTATTACTTTGTACTCTTATTATATTTTCAGATAACCTTAAATATTATATAGTATATAACATTTTAGGAGTTTATACATTTAAATATTAGCAATAGTTGTCTCTAGATAGTGGGATTATTGATAAATTAAAGTTAAGAAAATTTATAGTCTATATTCTAATTTTTCTGTAGAGTTCATGAGTCACTTGAGGGTAAAAAGGGTATAAAACAAACAGAAAGCTAAAAATAACCTTCGCTTTGTAGCTAATGGTTATATTTCTTACATACCTATATACTTTTTGAAATTTCATTTTAGTTTTGCATATTTTGGTTTTCATTATATTTACTGTAGAAAAGTAAACTATTTTTCAGTTGCTTATCTCAAAAAAGTACTATGACTGAGTTTTCTGCCTCTTGGCATATTTAGAGCTGTTTGAAATTGTGCGTATCTAATATACCTGCAGAATGAACGCAGCCTGCAGTATTTTCCCTTACTCCCAGAGCTCCCAATCCTCTGTAGGGGAGGTAGTGCCTGTTCTAGAACATCCTTTAGGTCTTAGCTTACTTACTCAGAGCCTTGCCTTTCTCAGAGAAACATTCCTGGATTCCCTTGACTATGTTAGGTCCCCTGATTAGATATGCTTATTGTGCTGACCTCTGCTTCACTGTAGAATTTTATTAATGTAGACTTGTGTTAATGTCTGTCTCAGGTTAGACAGTAATTTCTATGAAGGCAGGAACAATGTACATTTTGGTCTTAAATCTCCAGTGTTGATGAACAAATGAATAGAATTGAACAAGTGAAGAGACTATTGTCTATTATTTACTTGTTGAAAGATTTTACTCAGTTTGACATGGGTTTTAAAATAACATCTAACATTTATATTATACTCTCAAGTACATAATTTCAGTAGAAACCTGTTTTGTCCAGCATAAAGCAATCTGTATGTAGAGCATTGTAGACATTGATTCTAGTGTATTATTATGACCTTCCCAGATATGTAAAGGACTATACTGTGAGTTTGGGACAATTTGGAATTTAAGTAGAAAACTGTATTTATTGGTTTAACTGGCAGAATCAACCCCTTCCTTTTCAGAACAGCTCCCAAAACACCTTTAGTGATTTTTTTTCGTAAGAAAAATTTTATGGTAATTAAGTATTACAAAACAAATAAGAAGATGAACACTACAGTTTTCAAATTTATTTGATGTCATAAAATGTATTGCCCAGTGCATCACTGATAGTCATATACCAATGTGCTGGAATCATTACTTGGGATTGGTAGCTTGCTTCTTTACATTAGATTTTAGGTTCACAGAAATCAGCTGTCAGGTAGATAATGTTCTCTATTTGATATATTTGCTATGAAAGACTAGTTTAACAGAAGTCATTTTGAAAGTTGCTGTAAAATATTTTAGAAATCTAAACTTTAATGACTACCTTCTGGTATTTTTAAAAACATAGCTTGGATATAAACTGAATAACATTAAAGTATTTTTTCTTATCTCATAACTTTGTCACGTTTGTTGGTGAATATGTGAAATAAGCCATTGAAATAGCTTAAAGTATGTAAACCCAAATCTAAGTATCTTGTAGCCCACAAGCCTACAGAGACTGTTGTGTGTGGAACCTTCATTGTTAATGGGAAGGCTACAGTAATTGTTTTCATATTAAAAACTTCAAAATGTTTGGTAATTCTTTTGTTTGGGGGATTCTTTGGATATTAAAATATATCTGACATCATATCAGGCATTTTTACCTTAATTATCCATGGGGATATTGAAATTCTGACTTTGGGTTTATTTTGAGATAGGTTGGTGAATTGGAATATATTGGCGATTTTTAAAATGAAGCCAATGGGTTTTTTTGAAGTCTAGGATAAAGAAAATGAGGAAATACATTGTGCACCAGGTTTGGTAGATGGCTGGGCAAATTATTAAAGTGTTCCATGAAAATTATCCATTCAGTCTAGAGAGGTACCTTCTATTTAAATCTAGACCAAGAGAATTAGCCAAAATAGTAAAGCTTCATTTACTTGAAATTATATATCCTTTTTACAGGGCTAAAGTTAATGATCTACTTCCCCACTTTAGTGATCTTGACAAATCTTATTAAAGCAACCTTGGAAGCATCACCTGGTTCTCTATTTGCATTTCCTGTTATGAAAGTCATAAATATAATAGAAATATTATTTTATTTAGAGCTTATGTAAAATCATATACAATTTAGATTCTATATGACCTCCTCTAATTAGTATAAATCATTCCATTGAAATCCTTAGAAAGATACTAGAAACAGACAATTCCAAGGATTTTCTATTTTTAATGCCTGACTTGTGGCTCAGTGGAGTAAGTAGATTCTTTGTCTATACTCAGACATATGTAAAGGTTTAATAGTTTGTGATGCTTTATAGAGTCACATAGATAGCATAGTTTTTGTTCTTCTAAGAATTTAAGTGTTGTTTATTTTATTTTTTTATGTTTGTATAAAACTATGGAAGGATCCACAAACTAATAAAATGAATACTTTTTTATAAGAGGGAATGGGAACTGGCAAATCAGGATTAAGTTAGAAAGGAGATTATTCACTGCCTAGCTTTCTATTCTTTGATTCTTTTTGAGAACCGTGTAAACAATATTGCCTATTCATAAAATTTAAAAATAAGGTTAAATATTTAAATAACAAAACGAAGATACCATTTAATGAAAGTTGGAGTTGCACATATAATAGAAAGTTAAAAAATATGTACAGAGTGAGTGCATTTTGCGAGCAGCACAGCCGTGTCTACATATCAGTATCCCTTTCCTCATGTATTAAATTAAGTTTTTTGCGCTTACTGTTCAGCAGCTTGACATGGCCAAAATCTAACGATGATGATAATAATAAACTAACAACCATTGACTGTTTACTATGTACCATACTAAGTACTGTATTTAATATGTGTTTTAGATGTGTATCTTTTCTTATCTCTTATCTCTACTTTACAGGTGAGGAAGTTGAGACTTAAGCAAGGCTAAGTAACTTGCGAAGGTCACACAGCTAGTAAGAGGTAGAGCTGATTTTCAGAACCAGGTTCTGACTCATCTAGTCTGTTCTTCTCCCCTTCTGTACTGTCTCTTTGTGAAGTGAAAGGAATCAAAATATCATTTTAATAAAAAGAAAACATAGGCATAGTTGAAACTGATTATAATTTAATTATTTGTTTTATCAGTAGATTGGGGAAACTGTGGAACTGGTCATTGTAACCCATATTTACATTTTATTTAGTGAATGTAGAGAGGTAAAATGTTGGTGTTACATTGTAGTAGCATAGTGTTGAACAACTTTCCTGGGTTCTTGAAGCATTTTTTAAAGATTAATTTTGTTTTTTTTTCTTCCTTAGCATAAGCCGGACCAAGTTGAGGGAGGTGGAACCAGCAGCATGCAGTGGGACGGTGAAGGGTGAACAGTGCACTAACAAAGCCCTTCCATTCACCAGACATTGTTTCCAACGTATCCTATTAACTCAGTTGAGTGTGCATTCAAGTCTTGACTCATTCAGGGCTGTATATTTCATTCTTAAGCTAAATGAAGGACTTTTGAAATAACTAATATTAAAAATAATTTTTATATAACTTCTCATTTCCATGATGTCCTCTGAATAATTTTCTTGCTTATATCTTTGCAGTTAGTTATTCAAGAATCACATCACAATAAGCAAAATTAACAGCAGGTAGCAGGTTCTTCCAATAGCTGTCAGTCACTTGATTAAATTTTGTTAACAGAATTTCAATCCTTCCAGTAGTTTTAGTTAGTTTGTAAGAAGCAGCTATAACCCTCATTGATGAAAAAATCAAATCATATTATTCAAAAACTGTTTTTAATCTTTTAAGAAGTTATACAGTTTTATAGTGTGCCTTTTGCTGTGGGAATAATTTCCTATTTGTATGGAGTACAGCACTGACTTGAAATGAATGAAACATAAACATCACTGAGAAAGAAAATTTCTTCAGACAGAAAATACTTGAGGAAAACTTTTATTAAGGGCTTCAGGCTGGTTATGAAATCTTATTGCTCTCACTTTTATTAAACATTTAAAACTGAGTAGCATTTAAAAATGTATATAGTAACAGTTTCTTACTGTACTATCTATTTGACTTTTGCCCTCCTTTCTATTCTTGGAGTTGTATTTTCACAACTTTTTCAATAGCAGTTTCTATGCAGTAAAGGCTTTATGAAGAGTCTTAACTATAAAAGCATAAAGGAAAAACAGGAAGATAGTTCCTTAATAGATATAAAGTAAATTTTGGGGAAATGTAGTTAGTGGCTGAAAGTATATGGATGCTTAAAAGTGTTGGTGATGTAAAGTTGATGTTCCATTTTAATAGTATAGTTTTTATTCAAAAGTAATTTTTCGTAACTTGGAAGTTTGAGTGTGGTGTTAGAAATGTGAAATTAAAAATCCAAATTTGGTAGATGAGGTTTTTTAGAATTATATCATTCAAGAAATGTATACATACTTTGAATGATTATAAGGCCATTGTTTATTAACATACAGTTTGTTTACAGAATTAAGTTATCAGTTATACACATTTTAACAGTTATCAGCTGTTATGTTGTATTTTTTTTTTTTTTCAGTTACAGTTTACATTAAATATTCTTTTGTATTAGTTTCAGGTATTTTTATTCTTCTCGATGCGTGTCATACGCAGAAGTTTTCCTTATAAGAAAGTGTTTTTGTTTGTTTGTTTTTAACTGTTACAGTGGAACTTTTAGAAGTTAGTGTGTTAAGAAGGAAATGACCCTGCTTCCCCAAATAACAGAAATCAGAATGACCCTAAAGGAGACTTGTGTTTAGGAGCCCAATAGCAAAATAGACTCCTTCTGATTTCTCTTCTGATAAGTAATGATGATAAAACTATCATCATTTTCTCATATCAGTAGCTGAATTGGCTTTTTAGCTTTTATAAATAATAAAATTTATGCTTACTAAACATAAGTAAGGAAAGAATATTTTATATAAAAATTAAAAAAATTAAGTAGAGTTTCAGTGTGTTTTATCCCTAACTTAAAAACCCCAGATATCCTCTTGAACCGCTCTCAGCAGCTCTTCTCAAGTTGCACGGCCAAGTTTGCAGATGGACAGCAGTGTTCTGTGCCTGTTTTTGACATTACACACCAGACACCTCTGTGTGAAGAACATGCCAAAAAAATGGTAAGTTCAGATTTTATTTTCTGCAGCAGAGGCTTTCACAATAGCTATCCGCAGTGGGAAGTATTTTGTGTCTTAGTACAAACTACGTATGTATATAAATCACTGAAACAAGTTTTATGAAACAATAGTGTTAGCACCTGTTATTTTCTAGTCTGTTCTATTGTACTAAAAAAAAAAAAAAAAAAAAAAAAAAAAAAAAAAAAAAAAAAAAAAAAAAAAAAAAAAAAA